GGAGGAATGCGAAATGATGAAACTAAACGAAGAGTGCTCAGCAATTCTTCAAAATAAATTGCTTCCAAAGCTCAAGGACCCAGGGAGTTTTTCTATTCCTTGCACCATAGRAGATAYTGAGTTTGARAARGCTTTATGCGATTTAGGTGCCAGTATAAATCTAATGCCATATTCTATTTTTGAAAAACTTGGATTACATGAACTAACACCTACTACTATTACCCTGCAATTAGCTGATAGAAGCATTAAATATTCTCGGGGAATAGTAGAAGATGGTTTAGTCAAAATGGGCAATTTTATTATTCCTGCTGACTTCATTGTATTGGATATGGAAGAAGATAGGACAATGCCTTTGATTTTAGGGAGACATTTTCTTGCTACTGGTAATGCTTTAATTGATGTGCAAAAATGTCTACTTTTAGAATTAATGGTGAAGAAGTAATATTTAATGTATTTAAAACCATGAAATATCCTAACACAATTGAACATGAAATATATGCAATTGATTGCATTGATATTTGGGCAGCTGAAGTCGATGCATCTAAATCAGATGATCCTTTAGAACGTTGCATTCTTAATTCTTGTAAATATGTACAGGTCTTGGATGAAGAAATTAAGGAGGTTTTGAACTATTTGGAGGCCGGTCAAGAAGAGTTCAAACCAAGACAAGGAAAATTTTTACCATTGGATGGACCGACCTCTACCAAGCAATTGCGACCTTCCATTGAAACACCTCCAACTCACACAAAACTCCTCCCATCTATTGTGTAGGCCCCTACTCCAAATCTAAACCCACCCATGATGGATTAGAGGGGAAAACATCGGAAGTTGCAACTACAAGACCTGGAGGATCCGGTTTATGATTAAAAACAGGGAAGTTTGTTTTTCTTTTTTTTTTTTCTCTTGTTTTTATAGTTAAGTTATTTCCACATTTTCTTTTTACCTTACATTGAAGACAATACGTAGACTAACTGTGTGTGGGGGGGGGAGGGGAGAGTATAGGATTTCATTTCAGTTAAAAAAAAAAAATCAAAACTTCAACCTTTTTGAAATCAATTGAAACAATGTTCTAGGAAAATTCTTGTGAACCTAGTAATGAGGTACGATCAAGGAGTACACGACTTATTTGAAGCCATTTCCAATTAAGCTAGTCCTAAATTTAGGTTTAAGTAAATGGGGTAGTTGTTTTACCATTGTTACAATTGGTAGGATGGAGCATAAAATGCACCTACCAACCAAGTAATACAATTGGTAGGATGGAGCATAAAATGCACCTACCAACCAAGTAATTCAATAGTAGGATGGAGCATAAAATGCACCTACTGGCCGAGTGATCCAAAATTGAGACGGAGCATAAAATGCACTCACTCTTGATAAAAAAATAAAATAAAATAAATAAAAAGAGAGGTTTTCCCTGATTTACTACCTGGCTTGCAGTAGCAAAAATTGGATTGATTGATGAATGAGTCGTGTATGACTTGGTTGTGTTGATTTAACGGTTTGCAATAGTTAACCTAGAATATTTGTGGAGAAAGATGGAGAGTTGAGTTTAAAGATTGGAAGGATAGTTGTTTGTTTTGTGTTTGCTTGAATTTTGTCTTGCTCGAGGACGGACAAGGTTTAACTATGGGGGAATTTGATGAGAATAAAAATTATCATATTTTTATCCCTAAATATATAGTCTTTTACACTTAATTAGTACTTAATTGGACTCATAATTCTTGTATTTCGATTCAGGGAATGAAAAAAGGCGTCATGAGAAAAACAAGGCTAATCGGGTAATTTTGCACAGTTTTGGCGCCGCGTAGTAATCTAGGCATAACTCCCCCATCCGGACTTCGATTGAGATGATTCAAGATGCATTGGAAAGATAAGGAAGAACTCTACAACTTTCATGTTTTGAGTTTTGATAGATTCGGGCTGCATCAAAGTCAAAATCGGGCCCGAAGTCTGAACAAATTTGTAGGGAAGCCCAGTTCGCAGCAGAAGCCCAAATTGTAGAGAAGCCTTACAGCGGCCCAATTCGTTGAGGAAACCTAATACGAATGCAAGAATAAGAAATTGCAAAGAGTCCTATCAGATTTAATTTTCTGATGTAATTCTAGAAAGATAAAGGAGATTGAGATTACTAGATAAGAGATAAGGATAGGATTAGATTAGGACTTTCTATTTTTGAAGAAGAACTCCAAGAAGGAGTTGGAAACAACCCCTCCTCCTAAAGCTATATAAAGGGGGGTGGACTAGCACCAGGGCATCAATCAATTTCTGGAGCAATCAAGGAGAAATCCTCCAAGAGAGCTTCAGTCTTCAAGAAGGCAGTCGACAATGTAGGAGGAGAAAAGGAGGAAGGTGGCGGCAAGGAAAAGAAGTTCATTGATCTCAACCTCAAGGGGCGACATCATGAGTTCTTTCTTATGCTTTGTTTGTTTAATTTCCTTTATCATGAACTAATGTATTTGTAGCTAGGGCTGTGAAAAGCCTAACCACGACCATGGATTGATTTTTATTTAATTCAGCCAAGCTGTTTTTATTTTCATATTGTCTATGAGTTATTATGCGTAATGCAATTAGGAGCTTGGCCACCTCCTAGTTGATTTGGTTTATATGAATGAACCGGAAGGGGAATTCATATAAAAGACTAAAT